AAAAAAAAAAAAAAAAAAAAAAAAAAAAAAAAAAAAAAAAAAAAAAAAAAAAAAGTATGCAGCGTAAGTTCATACGTGCGCAGGGGAGCGAAAGAAATCGCTTTGTGCGAAAACGAGAGCGAGAGTGTGCTTATTAGGTGAGACGGATATAGAGATCGGTTTATTATTATTCACGGGGGGATACGTGTACATGTATTTTGAGGAAGTGTGCGTACGCGAGTGAGAGTAAAAAAAAGTACGCTCGCGTCTTGCGTTGCGCGGACGTTTCAATGAAATATCAGTTCAAATTATATAGTGACACTCGTTTATGATGAATAAACATTTTACGTGAGATAATTTACACGGGACTTTTGCTGTTGCACTCTTCTACTTTTGTGCTTATTATACAACTATATGTTACACTCAGAAATAATTTGTCACCGATGGCAATGTAAGAAGTAACTTATAAACACGCTTACGTTTCATAGTCATTTCAAAATTTCTCTGATCACACGTGTACTTAACAATAACGATGTTGGATCATGTAGGTCGGCAACTATAAAAAATGTAAAAAGTAACAAGTAGGTATATATATCATGAGGGAAGGTACGAAAAGACACGACGGACCAGAATTCCGGAAGCTCTCGAAACGCGTGTCACGTTTTCACGCCTCCCGAGCGCTCAACCGGCTGTAATGTACCTATTATCTACTTTTTTAATCGCCCTCCCCGTCTCTCGCGGGCGCACAGACGTACCTATACCTATATATACTTACACGTGTAATATCACACTCGCGAAACAAAGAGGCCCGCGGTGTGTTTTTGTTACAATAGTTGCAAGAGATTCGATTCGCTCGCAAAGCACTATAAATATAAATACATACACACATATGTACATATTATAACGTAGGGCGAGCATAGGTATATGTATGTATGTATTATTCAATGGGTGTACTTGGTACACATGCACACACGTGTCGAGGAGCGAAAAGAGAGAGGGAGAAAAATCATACAAACCTAGACAACAACGCCCCGTCGAAACGCGCGAGGTCTGCCTCGTCCCACGCTGTACAAATGCACGTATGTATATATAGGTTGTGCTGGGTGTATATCGTATGTGCACCGGATAGGTATTACTTGCCGGTGGCTTTTGTAAGTAAGCGTATACGTATGGTTCCATGGACGCGAGACACGCGCGCCCGGCATTCTTGCGAAAGCTCCAACGAGACATTTAATGTTACGGCGAGCACATTACGTTGCTTTCTTTCGCCCGCGTGTGTTGAGAGATCGGTATAATGACTGTCGATCTCGGGGAGAGGTGCCCATTTTTTTTTTTCCTTCTAATGTTCCGTAAAATGATATTGGATACGGCAAGGCAAGGAGATAATGTAGTTCGAGGGATTAATTTTGTGTACGAACCCATTCTCGATTCTCGTCGAGGTTTTGACGCGGTGGCATTTGCAATTGGTTGATCAACTGATTGGTATCATTGAAGATATTGACTTTTAATCATTAATACTTTCTTTCGTTAGAGTTTCTGTGGGACCATTGGGCAACTCTCTCACGCCGGGGCTTGTCATCGTGACGAAATACTTTTTCTGTGATTAAAACTTCGACAAATTGAACTGTTTTTTTTTTTTTTTTTCTTTTCTTTTCGTTTCTTCAAATCTAAGTGCGACGAAGAAATTAAAAAGAATCAAAGAAAAAACTTTTCCGACTCGGAACACGGAGCAATAGTGAAACAAAGAAAAAAATCCAAGAGAACATTATTAGTCTTCGCACGCAACATTGGCCGCTGTTAGCGGCAATTATTACGGTTCTGAGAGTCAAACGCTCGTGAGATTGTCTCAAAGTGACGAAACGGTGGAATCGATTGCAGGAAGGATTGATGATTGTTACGGTCTCCCCTGATGTATTACGTGCGTGTACCTGATGTATACGTGAAAATTCACATTTGTACAAAGGGTTTGTGCAAAATGTATAGATGTGCTCGTCTAAACGCTACTGTAAATGTGAATGAAACTTGCACCATGACAACGATGTTTTTAGTTTTTCGTCTTTATCTAGCTTCATCTATAATCATAAAATGATATTTAAAAAGGTACTAAGGAGTTTTTCTTATAAATTAAAAAGAAGTTGACTATTTCCCTCATTTTTCACCCCCATACCAGCCCCATATTTTCTGAATTTGGTTATACCTCCACGAATTCGACAATGAAATCCTAAAATATTTTTTTTTCCACAAAAAGGCTTTTTGAAGTTCAAACTTTTATGAGCGCAGTTGGTATAACTTGATATTGAAAGCTAGCTTTAAAGTAACTTCTTGGTAACTGTACATAACCAATCGCACCTTTATGATGGTATAACTAAAAGAATTGTAAGATCATCGGAAATAAATTTACATAAGTAATTTTATTTATCATTAAAACTTACAAATCATTGTGATGAAAAAAATGTTATCGCATCAATTACAAAACTTGCTAATAAATGAGCTTTTTGGTCAAAGATATACCTCAAACTTATGAGATACATTCATTGTATCGTTTTTATTACTTTCTCTCTTGAATAAGTACGGGGTCTTTTTTCATCCATGAAATATAATAATTGCAACATTGGCTTATTTAATGAAAACTTTTTTATTACGAAGATATGAACATTTTGTAAGAATCAACAGCTTTTACATTCTTGATGGATATCTACAAAACTATTTAGAAAATGATGTCGCCGTGCAATGTTGTAACACCAAGTCAAACATGTGGAACTAAACACCTTTGGAATTAAGTCATAACCATTAGGTATTGGCATTTCAGGTTCTGGTGAGTTTGAAATTTTTCCAAAACGTTATACAATTTTCTGCAATTTAATTTGGTTTGAAAATGCCTAAGTTGTCTCACACGATTCATACACATGAAAGCACTCATATAAACCGATTAAAAATAAAATTGTGCTGTAAATGCATGTGTTTTTTAAGAGTTTCGTTTGCTCTGAAAAATTGTGGGCACAGGTAGCAATGGTACGTATGCTCCGTGATGACGTGATTCCTTAAACTTCTTTGATCTTCGTAAACCTTCGAGCACGTGGAAAAGGGACAGCAAAAATAATGCTCGGTTTTGATGTGCATTTTAAGGCTCTCATTTTTAATGAAACTCTGTGAGCATTTGGTACAGCGATATACCTTTTTCGGAAAGTGAACCAATTTGTGCCTCTTCAAATTGCTGTGGTCTTTATACGATTTCGGACACATGTTGCAGCAGTAGGGCTTCTCGCCCAAGTGAATAAGTTGGTGTCTTTTCAGATTCGATGGATTAGGAAATGCTTCGTCGCATTCGCCACACGGGTAAACTTTCACGCAAAACTTATCTGTCATTTGTAGAAATTGCAATTCGACGTGGAGATTCCAAAGCACCTTAACTGCGCAGTAGTGTGGCTTCTTTATCGTTGATGAGACTGTTGTTTCTAATGACTGCGTTATCAAACAATGAGGCGTGTTTTTTCGATGAGCTGCTTTCAGTCTGAAAAAACAATTAAAAAGTGATTATAATTTTACTTTACTAGCATAGCCTACGCATTC